TTATTATTATTATTATTATTATTATTATTATTATTATTATGTGGATTGATCATGACCTAGATGACTCCTGATAAGAATCTCCACCAGCATGAAGCTCTAAGAGGTTTCAAAAAATCAGTTAAACTGTTAAAAATACTTCATTATTTAGTCTTTAGTCCTATTGTGTTACGTTGAATAAAAACACTTAAATTAGGTTAGGCCTCTCGTTTTAGTAAACACCATGTGCACTTCTAACTGATATTGTGCTGTGACCCCATTTAGAAACACAAAGAGGCTCTTAAGAAAAGAAAAGAGAAAAAACTTTATTAATCTTTGAACAGGAAATTCAATATTCCCTCAGTTATTCAAGGTTTAACTCCCCAAAAACATGTTTTTTGACCATTTAAAAAAATAAAATTAGCATTTTTTTAATTAGTGCCCTGCTTAATTTCCTGCACAAGTGATTCAGCTGCTTTGAATCCCGACTTGGAGAAATGACAAAAAGATGTCAATCATCAGATGACTGATTTTATAGATGCACAAAGCCCTCTGACTAGTTTCCAGTCATGTTTTTCTTGTTGGAGGCCTCTGCGGTGTGCCTTTCCTCCGCACCCTCCCCACACATGTGTCTGTGGCAGTGGATGAAACACACAACGCAGAACCAAACACAGATGTGGCACGCGCTTTAGAGCCATATGTTTGTGATGAGACAGAATCCAGAGGACACAGCTCATTCACAAAACACGCAGGTGTTTCATTTAATTTCTCTTTCTGATGTGTTGCATCGCCAAAGACCCCCAGATCATAGTTTGCAGAATCGTTTATTCTGCACTCATTTTTTCGATTATCGCCTGCTGCTGAGAGACGAAGGCAATATGTGTGTTCCTGTGTGTGTGTGTGTGTGTGTGAGCTGCAAGCACCAAGATGTTCTTTTTGCGAGCATGGCTGTCCATAAAAACTGGATTTCTATACCAAAATGCCACAGCCAGCTGAAGTCTCTTTCTGTTGATGCTCCAGTTCTTGCATCAGCTAAAGCTTCTCCTGTCGACCGTTTATTTTGATTTATTTTTGGTTCATATTTCTTTTTGTGCTGTTGGCATACTTTCTCATCTGCTTCAAAGTAAGACGCTGAATCACAGCAGAATAAAAATAACTGCAGAGTCCCCAGAGTTGTAACTGTTTCAGACCTGCAGCTTTGAATGGCTTCTATTATGTAAGAGCTTTCTCACTCGAGGTCAAGCATGCTAAAAGTACAAACAGGCGCAGGCGAAGCAGATTCCAGAGTTCCTATGACATGCATTATGATGTATTTGTCTGCCTTTTTCTTACTATGGTTAAAGCAGACCAAAAATTAAAAAAACTATCTATGTTTTGTTAGAATAATGAAAAGGTTCAACATTTTCCACAAGTACACATTGCTGCAGTGAAAACACAACTTAAACAGGATGGTTGCGTTCTTCACTGAACCTCAGTCTCATTAAGGTATTTTTATTTTTATTTATTTATTTTATTTTATTTATTTATTTATTTATTTATTTATTTATTTATTTATTTTTTGCTGTTAGCCGCTCCTGTAACTTGGGTGAAATACTGTAGGTTTATCATGTGTTTTATAAATTAAAAACCAGTGTTTCATTCTGACACAGGCCCACCTTCATAGTATCTTATGTGCACCCATGAGCCACATCTAGTCCCTTCACTGTTATTTATTTATTTATTTATTTATTTATTTATTTATTTATTTATTTATTTATGGTATTTGTATTGTTTATTTTTTTTAATCTGAGAGTAATTCTTGTCCAAAGATAATGTTGATTTGTCTGAACAGGACATGATGTAGTGTGATTGCCTTAGTGAGAAAATTAGGGGTTTAATTCTGTCTTGTGACAAAGTGTCCTTGTGCAAGACGTTCATTCTCTCATTACCGCTGATGTTCTTCTCAATATGTGTTCTGTTGTCACTTTGGATGAAAGAAGCTGATAAATGACACCAGCGTCACGCAATTAAACTCTCAACTATCCTTTTTTATAAGCTGAGCACATAAAGTAAGAAAATGTGTATTTTGTAAAGATTATTTCATTGTTGTAACAATGTTTCTTGGCGGTGAATCTTGTACGGTTGGAAAGCCTGTTAATTTCCCTTTTAAATGGTGCCACATTTGTAAGGAACGTGCATTTATGGGATGAGCAGTAGAGCAGTATGTGGGTTACACACGTGAAAAATTTGCCAGCTTATTTTGCTGTTATTGACACTTGTTTTGAGGTTCAGGTGCTGCCAATCTTGCATAAGATTTACTGTCAAGAAGCATTGTTAACACAGAAATAATCCACCAAACACAAATTTCCTTACCTTTTGTGCTAAGTATACTTCTGTTCTCCAATGGCCTCTGAGAAAGCTGTAGACTCACAACAACGATGCACAGGATTGGCACATGTTTAGGTGTTACAACTTTTTATCTCCCAGATTCCAAGGTTAAAAGCAAAACTAACAATGTTGCTAAAGGGTTATTTTTTTTGGCTCCTATTTTTATGATGATACTGTTTATGCTTTAACCCGGATCTCATGTTTACTGTTAATTATTCAACTCTCTGGGAGCCACAGTTTATGATGTTTTTACATGAAGTCTTTGTGGAATCATAGAGCACAACTAAAGCGTTCAGGTTAAAATAAAAACCTCACACTGAGTGAAAGTGTGGAAACCGTGTTGGTTGTTTATTGTGACCTTTATGTAAACCGGCTGGCGAGGGTTATTAATTACTGCAAGAACAAAACATGAAAATAGGTATTAAAAAATATAAACTACGTAAAACATTTGCAGCCAGCAGGCACATAATTACCAAGCAAAAGGAAGCATTTTAAAAGCTATTTTGTCAATTATAAAACCTGGAGGCAGAACTTATTTATTTGTTTTTTCAATAGTCACTTTTAATTCGATGTATTTAAGCGAAGATGATGGCAGGCAAAAAAAAATTACAATAAAAAGTCATTTTTTTAAATGTCTTCGTTGGGCTTATTGGCTTCTTTTCAGCAGTGAAAAATAAGGAAAAAAAATCTGCATAAAGTGCATGTGAAAAGTGTCTGAAATGCTAGAGTTTGATTGTTGCAGCTTGTTTGTAAAGTTTCATGTGGAAAGCTGAAATCATGGTCTTGTGTTTGCGGTCGTGAGAATATTACTCACACATCCCAAATCTGAACACTTATCAAATAAGGAAGCAATTTATTTTTTTGATATTTGTTTTGTCACAGCTTTATCCAGGAAAAACATAAAACTGTTATTAACAGATTCAAGGGAATTTAAAAAAAATCCTTGGGGAAAAAATGAATGAGAAATAACTAAACATTTTATATATCATGATAAAGGATTAAAGCTTAAAAACCTAATTTTATTGTTTTTTTTTCTTTTAAAATGAGCTTAAAGAAGCAGGTTAAAGGTGGCCGAGTTTCTGTAAGGTTCTTTCACTGGAAGCAGGAAGCAGGTGAAAGGTAAACAAACACAGCGTAGAGATTTTTGTAATGATTGATGAGCTTTACGTCCAACTTGGGTTGGCGTGGACAATTGTAAACTATCCACACACCTGGAGCTAGTTAAACATCGAACACCTGTACTTTTACATAACGTTTGTTTTGCAACTGACTGTAACATACATAAAAATAGGGTTGTTTTCTTCTAAATTTGTGTCTCTCTTTATTTTCAGGCTTTTTATTTCCACTGCTGCTCATTTCCACTGTGTCTGTGGAGGATGGTTTACAAAAAAAAAGTACTTAAAGTTTTGATATTTTTGACAAAACAAATGAATAAATATTTAAAAAAAACGTCCTGATGCATCTCAGTAATCCAGGTAAAAATCAAAAAGAAAAAAAACTGTATAGGTCTTCTGGACGGGTTCTTCTCTAATGAAACGTTTCATCTCTCCTCCAAGAGACTTCTTCATTCTGAGAGTTTCAGGCAAAATTCAGGCTTTTAAGCACTGCCTCCATGTGACTGATACTCACATCACATGGCTATCGTTGACACCTAATTAACACCTATTGTTAACAGGGGGTGGAGTGATACTGCCAATGGCAGTGCTGTAGGAGGGGGACAGCTGAAAACGGAGGCCTCCACCTCTGTTTAATGATGGACGGTCTTTCTTCACAAAAATGGCTTCTTTTACTCCTCTCTCAAACCAACGTTCCTCCCTATCAAGAATGAGAACATTCTCATCTCTGAAGGAGTGACCGCTGGCCTGTAAATGAGTGAAAACTGCAGAGTTCTGGCCATTAGATGTAGCTTAGATGTAGCTCGTCTGTGTCCCAAGAATGTCCCAACACAGACGAGCTACATCTAATGGCCAGAACTCTGCAGTTTTCACTCATTTACA